GTACCCAACATTGTATGCGAGCGTATAGTGACAATTCCGGGTCTAGTACGCTACGCCACCGTGGACAGTTGTCATGCGTTTTCAGATGTTTTTTTTTGCTATTTTTGGTACTCTATTCTACAGCGCCGCCCCATTCTTAGTCCTGTCACTTTGTTACGTATCAATATCATAAAATTGTCTTGTGCTTTATGCCAAGAAAAACCGTCTAGTTTGTTGGGAGACTGCTTCATCAAATTTTGTGTATTTCATTATTACATTGTTTATTTGATACACATTCAAAGTATACTCGAATGGATCTAAATAACTCATCAAGTGGTCTCTCATTAAAATGATTTGTGATACTTTCGACTCTTGTTGAGTCTCATTACTCAATATACGTTGCCTTCAATTATGTTTACCTATGTAATTTAACAGAGTATATTATTGTAAGAAAATGTAAGTAGATGTTTACTGTATTCTCTCTACTTATTCTTGCTTTTGAATGTACTTATAACAATCAAATAGATTGCTAAAATTATACATTTTCACGTTTACCCATAAACCGTAGTAACCTAAGAGTGGTAACAGGCTAATCCAAAAGTTAGTTAAACAGTTGTTCAGCCATTTTGTATGAGAGGTTGAAAAATTGTGAAACCCGAAAGTTATGAACAAAAGTTGTTATGAATGTTGCGTAAAATCGAGTACATACNGAAGGTTGAAAGTACTGGACTTTCAACCTTCTCACCAACTTTAGTGATAAATACCGAAATTCAATGGAAGGAATGGTTAGGCATCGCTTTTTTTCCACACACACTAAACTGGACTAATTGTGTGTGTCCAAAACTATGGGACTATGGCGTCTAGATTTGGTGCTCGCTTTCTGATTTTTTTATTAGAATTCCATAAAATAACCTATGTCAAAGTTTTACAAACTTTGATGTTTGATTTTTTCTTGGTAAGTAACTACTCAAAATCAAATGTAGATCTTTGAAATTAACTTTCAAACTAAATTAAATAATGAATTTAGCCATAAAACATCAGCCTTCAGTGTAAACTAATCCGCTCGGTTCTCACGTTTCACAGCTGAAATCAAAACATGGACTGCTAATTGGTCTCAAGTGGTGATTAATTAACAATCCATAATGAATGGTGGAAGATTCGACGACAAAACACGTGTCTGTTACAAAGAAATTATTGTATTTATAACATGTATTTAATAAAGTAAAAATAGCAGCGAAATAACTGGAACTACATAATTTGATAGATCATAAGTAATCAAGATGAAATGGACCTTGGAGAAAGAAGGCTGCCTTTACTTGGAAATAAAAATAAGAAAGTTTTTATGCATCTTATTTTTCACTTTCCATAACAGTGTGATGTATTTTCATGAAAGTGATGATATAAAAAGTTACCTAGAAAATTAAAATAATGAAAAAGGAAAATGTAGGAAGGACCACATTCACATTTTTCCGGGAAGAAATTCCATTGGTTTTCGCCTTTGAAATACGATTTGAAGCTTACCCGACCAACCTTCACACTTTAACAGCCACGAGTATTCTTCATTTTTTACCTCGAGAGCCCACTTAAATCGAAATTCTTAGTATAGTTCCAGCGTAAAAAGGTTAAACTGTTCCTAATAATATCCCCGGAACGGAGACAAATGGCATCGGTGATGTCCCGGTACTGCCCTTAATACCGGAAGCGGGAACACGGAAACGCTTTCCGGTAAAAACCGGTTCCGAGTGTCGTCTACGGTGATTAATTTCTTTTGTTCCCCGCTGCTAGTGCCGGGGCTATTAATATTGATGCTGCTCCGAACTCTGTTTTGTTTGCTGATTGTTTTAGAGAATAGTTGCCTTTTCTCCTTATACGTCTTGATTTATTTTCTTGTATCCATTTCGGTTTTTTTATCATTACTTCCCTCTTTTTGCCTTTATTTTTATCTATACTAATAATATTAAGTTGAGTTTGTTTGAATGAGATAATCTCAGGAACTATTGGTTCGATTTAAAAAAAAAAATATTGTGTTGGATATAATTTATCGAGGAAGGCTTTAGGGCCCTACAGCCGATAAAAAAAATATTGCAAAAACGGGAAATATTACTCTAACTACTTATTGTCACGCGTACGAAGTCGCGGGCACAAAACAGCTAGTTTACTCGTATCTCCAAATTCTTTTTCGTCAAGGATTGCTAGCCTAAAAATATTATTTAGTCTTTTTTGGAAATCTACGTTTATGAATGTCTCTTTGTCGCCTACACCTTTTCCGATACTTTCTTTTATTTTGCTACGGGATAAGTTTTGTTTGTGAATTAAACAAAATATAAGTCTACGAAAGAAACATCACAATACGTTTTACCTTTTAAGCAAGTCTGTGTCTGTAGTAAGTCCGATAAAGTTATACCTAGGTCACCTTTATATTTTTTTCTAATATGTATTTAGTATGAACAAGAAGTTGCGGGACAAAAAATAGACAACGTGAATACGGGCGTATGAATAACAATATCGTAATATTGTACGTACCGATGGGGCAGAAGGTTCTGGAATGGAGGCCGCGTACCGGAAAACGCAGCGTGTGACGTCCACCTACAAGGTGGACCGACGACATCGTAAAAGTAGCAGGGAAGCGCTGGACGCAGGCCGCTACCAATCGATCAACATGGAAAGCATTGGGAGAGGCCTATGTTCAGCAGTGGACGTCCTGTGGCTGAAATGATGATGATGATGATGATGAATATTGTACATACATACTATGTCAACATCATTAAGNAACCATAAATAGAAAACGAATAGAGGTAACTTTGGGAATTTATTCTATCGAGTCAACTTCATCAAATCGTGTTTCCATCAGTTAATAGCCCTAGAAAATATCCTCAACTATGCCCAATAAAAATCTTAGCCTTTAATTTTACTGTTTAGTACCTCAAAAATGAAAAATGAAAACCTCATTTTCGCCATTTTCTCTGCTACCCGGCCTTAACTTATAACGTACGCTAATATTTTTCTTGCCTATTATTACCTACTTACTTAAAGCTCGTGTATCTAAAAATAGATAGGGTTATTCTGAACTTGGAAACAATTTGAATAATCACTTTAATGGGATCCAAATTATACGTTTACTCGTATGATCACCTGTGGGTTGAAGCACGAACATAACGTATTGTCATTCTGGCAAATAAATGATTTTATTTATTTATTTATTTAAATTGATTTTATTAATGAAGAAAAGGAGGCAGAAGAACCAAAGTGAATGACATAGCTCGCAGAATTGTTAAAATTAAGTGGCAGTGGGCGAGGCACATAGCTAGGCTAGCTCGTAGAGACGATGGCCGTTGGGGCAGAAAAGTTCTCGAGTGGCGACCACAGGCTAGAAGACGTAGCGTGGGCAGGCCTTCTACTAGGTAGAACGACGATCTGGTAAAGGTCGCGGGAAGAGCCTGGATGCGGGCAGCGCAGGACCGTGCATTTTGAAAAACCTTGGGGAGGCCTTTGTCCGGCTGTGGACGTCATTTGGCTGAAACGAATAAAGAAAAAAACATATTTAAATAGTTTGAGGCTTGGTAATGGTGTGTGAATAAAAAGAAATGGTCACTAGTTACGAACTCGCCTACTATTTGACTACAATAGAAATAAAATGGGTTAAGCATTAAGTCCGCCCGAAGGCCGCGTTGTCTTCAGAAACAATGAATCCACACAACCCTGCTCGAATCACCCTATTACTGTAAACAACTCCCACTTACGTCGGAGGGTCGTGATCATTACACAGATTGAATCACGTAATGACTGTCTTGGTAATTTTGATGGAGTGGCGTGTCATTGCTATTGCCTTGTTGAGGTACTACGATTTAGGGCATGTTCCCATGTAGTCATCCCGTTTCCTGCAGGATCCAGTTTAGTAAATACGTGTTTTAATATTAACGTTCACACGAACATCCCATTTGCAGTGTCGCGCAAAAAAAAAACGATTCTTTTGAATTTGTAATTCGAATTTTATCAAACACACGACAGTCCTGTTTTACGGGATCCTACATTACTGGTCCCGCAAAACTGGATTGCCGTGGAAACGAGGCCTTAAACTTTTTGATACTCAACAGTTTTCTCTTTAAGGATTAGTTTTCTCAGCTATGTCGCCATAAATATTAAATAGGCAAAATTTGACTTTCAACAGTCATTCAAATCTTATTTTAGATTGTTCATTAAATCTTTAAAGACTTATTAATATACAAAACAAGAATATTCTCTAAGAAAAACGGATTTAGAAATTCAACATCAGTTTGTTTAGTCTGCCTCGTTGACGGTAGGCCAAAGGCTCCAATTAATTCGTAATTAAAGAGCAGATCGAGTTTTTTAATTACTTTAATAGATATTAGAATCATTAATTATAATGAAAGGCAAATAAGTAATACCTACGTTTATCACATCAAACATCCTTGTCATGTATAAGTTCTGAAATAAGTACCTACTTGTTTCTAAATGAGAAAGTGTGTAAATCAAAGTGAGACCGGGTAGGTAACCCAAATAGCAGTCGAAATGGCACTTGAATAAATTAGACAGGATTGTTTCCTCTCCAAACATTGATTAGAATTCCACTTCTACTCTAAAATACTGGTCCATTCGTCTTGGAAAATTTATCTTTGTTCTCTGTTCAAGCACCAGCTCTTATTTTCCGCCTGCATTAATGCCAAATAATTATAATTTCACAACGTCAGCCGGAGCCTCAGAATATTCCATTAGGTTTCCAAGATCGCGATAAATTACGAGTATTAGGTACAAAGAGATTGACCTTATTTACATCAGTATTCAGATTTATGTCCGCGGTCTGAAACAAACAAGTTTAAATTGCGGATTTAGAATGACTTACGAAGTTTATATACTCTCAAAGGCGCATACTGGCTGAATACCAATTTTTCTCTCAGAACTTCCCCTATAAGTTACAGCCCATTCCTACGGAATGTAATAACAATTGTTTATTTTTACAGATGGCGTCGAATTAAAAGAATAGAAGAGTAAAGTGATAAGTTCAAGATGCTACACAGAACATCGTCGTCTCGTCGACGGCGAGCCTCCAGGAGTGCAGCTACTTCTCCACAAGCGAGATCACCAAGAGCGTCAGCACAACCCTCGAGGAGAGCTTCACTAGCTACTACAGAGACTGACGATGAAATCGACTCTCCACCACCACCACAAAGAAGTCCTCGAGCCAGCCTCGCACCAGATGCAGCTCTGGAATCATACCATCGAAGTCCGCGCCACTCTTTAGCACCAGAAATAAGATCGGCTAGAAATTCTGTCACTCCTGACACTGCGATGAACCCTAGGAACACTTTAACGCCAAATAGAAACAATTTAGGAGTAGAATTATCATATGGGTCCAGGTTAAGTCTGAACCCGCAGGACTTCAACAGGAGTCCACGGAACAGTATTACGCCTGACGTAACAGCAAGGAGTCCAAGGAGAAGTTTGGTCCCAGAAGGGACATCTTGGAATTTACCTAGAAATTCCTTAGTGCCAGATGTAGGGAGAAGTCCAAGGCATTCTGTGGCGAGTATACAGATAGATCCTGCTAGGAGTCAAAAAGACCTGGGGCCTTCTACAAGAACGAGCCCTAGAGGATGTGGGGGTCCAGAGGCTTCAATGAAAAAAGACTTGCCAGAAATTAATAGGAGCCCACGAGGATCTTTGATTCCTGATTCTCAGAGAAGTCCCAGGGGAAGTATCGCTCCGTCGGAAAGGAGTGCCCGAGGTAGTTTAGTGACGGGTGAGGTAGATGCATCTAAAATTAGTCCGAGAGGGAGTTTGACGTTGACTTTTCAAGAACCGTTGGTATCAAGGGAGAGGCGGGCTAGTGAAGACAGTCAAGCTGCAGGTAAAATAATTATAATTGAATTCGGAATCTCATAATCATATTTTGCTATTGTTTCACTATACAATTTTCAGAAAAGTTCAAACTTAATACATTTCTTAGTAACTAGGCATCAATCATAATTTCAAGAACTAGTTTTGAATATTTCAATTCTACCAGCAATACTTAACCATAATTTCAAAGAAATAGTAGTTTATTTACTTTCACTACAAATATTGGTGCTACAATTTTGTTTCCTTCTAAAGTTCAGTAAAATAACTTTCCTCCGTTACAAAAGTTATCGGAAGGTTATTTCAACTTCTCCTGTTCATGTTGAAGTACAGTTAGATAACAACCAAGGGAATTATTTAACGACTAGTAACTTTTGCTATGAATTTTGTTCCGTTGAGATTGGTTCTGTATTGTAACTTATTTGGAACTAGACTATGATAACATTGGGTTGTGCAATTCCATTCCAAGAAAACATGCCAACGTGTCTGAATCTGACAGAAATAAAATATAACGGTATCTTAATTGGCATTAATTATAGAGCATCAGCATTGCGTATTAATGCAATACAAAAGATTGAAAATCAAATACCGGTTTAGTAAAGTCAAGACTCGCGCACCGAGAAACATTCCGTACAAAATTGATTTTAAAAGTGATCTGTTTAAATTTAAGTACTCATCCTATTTTATCAGGAACTAGGGGCAGGAGCGTGTCACCGTACCGAGCGTCACTCGCAGGCCGCCAGGGGACCACTGGAGCCTTATCAGACACTGGATCTAGGAGAGCCTCTAGTTCTGTGAGCCAGGTACGTATAAAATTAGTAAAAACTCATGAGTATGTCTGCCTACCATATCAGGCCGTGATTCCAATGCCTAATTCCCGTGGTGAAACAGCGCTTAAAATCCAATCACAATAGCTGTTTGTACTAAATTTTTGTTTTGAAAGTCAATTAATATTTTGAAAGTTTCTTTGAAAGTTAATTGGGTCAATGAATAACTAACGTCACAAGTTTCTATTGCCATTCACAATTTGTTATCATCGTCTTTAATTATCTCATAAAAATTATATCCATTGATTGGTGGTGTCAAGTAAGTACTCAATATTACGTACAAAGAGAATAATAACTACGAGTAACTACTATGTAGCCTTGATAACGCAGTTATTGTTTATTGTTTTCTTTTTCTTGAACACAAGAAAATAAACAAAGACTGTAATTACGTAAACAAAGTAAGTAGCAAAGGGCCGCCATAAATAATTTCCTCGATTCCAGATCGATCGGCTTATGTCTTTACCCAAGTGTTATTTATAGACATAATATAGCTATAATGGGTCTTAATACTAATATTACTTTATTCTTCATACAAGGTTTTGCTACAAGGGGATTCTATTGCGTATTCCTTATTAAGTATACCTACTGATAAATCTGAAAAGCTATAGAATATTAGTTGTATACAAAAAGTGATAACACATCTTGTCTTGTCAGCATTATATATATGTAGGTTATCGTACAAAAGGCGAAGTAATTTATTTTTCTTCGATTTTGATGTGATTCTTTAGGGAAAAGCAATATGTTTGTGCTGAATACTTTCGTCAAAGAAAGTCAATTATTTAACAAGAAGCACGATTAAAAAGGAATTCATATAGGGTAAGAAGAAGGTATAGGTTTATAAAGGTGTAAACGGTGAGTCCATGCTTTTCAGTTAAAAAACCACTGTCATTTTTGCCCCTTGGTAGGTACAACAGATAAATCACGCTAGTATCGAATTCACACCAGTAATTTCTTGCATGTATAATATTTAAGTAGGTTTCAACCTATTCTTTAGCTACATTCTGTATTGGCAGCTTTTACTAATGATCGACTGCTTTTAAATCTGAACAGGCTAGGGAAGAAAATCATGGACTTAATTTCAATTTTGAATTATCATTCTCATCGTTAGGTTCATGTGACAGGATTTAGCTAATCTTAACAACAATGCCCTGAAAATAGAGATCAAATCCCCCCTAACCCCCCAAATTCGACACTTGTTTTGTTTGAACCCAAATTGACCCCCTGATTGATAGAGAACTGTTGCTATCCTCGGGCGCTCATCAGTCAAGAATAATTTATGACAGGGCAATGCTTACCACAGATAACATAAATACAGTAGGTTTATTATCCTGCTCTTCACTTTCAACTGAAGGGTCACTATTTAGCACCACCTAACTTTAACCGTGACTATAACGATAACCGGCGTACTTTGTATGGAGTTTGGCAGATTTTTGACGTTAGTTAAAGGCAAAGTAGGATGGTGCACCCCAGCCTAAGTATGGCGTGAAACTGCGATGTGACTTGGCACTCTCTTTCTATTGTTAAAACAAGGAGTTGACAATTTAACGCAATCGCAAATATGTCACTCGCTCTGAATACCTTGACCCTACAAGAGAGAGGAGAGATTTTACTCTTCCACACCTCTTAAAATGGAACAATTTCCTCCACTGTAATTCCTGTAGGAGCATTCCATACCTTCTGAATTTTACGGTGTTGTGGGCCCAGTAATCAATAATGGGGTGTATAACAATAAAGCCGCTATTGTTTTATAGGATATCAATATTGATTCAGGTTGTACGCGGCTTAATTTGTCCTGTCGTAGGACGTTGGAACAACAATTACTTAGATAGAGTGTCGGAACGTTAATTGCGGTTATTAATAATTTAAATACACGAGTCTATAGAAAGATTCTACACTGATAAGTACGAGAATTGAACGAAACTCTCAGGATCAGAGAAAAACTATCTTCTAGCTCAGCAAAAGTTTCCCATTACTAGTTTCCACAAAACTCCACTCCTCCTTCCCCCCCTTTCCATCCCCCATAGCTAAAACCTAGCTTTTCAATTGATTGAATTGAATGTCTGCTATTAGTCCAGCGTTTAGGCTAAACTGTGGAGTGAGACAGACTTTAAGGTGCGCCTAAACTGTGCACAGTATGTAGAATAAATTCTACTATGCACTACCTAAGGAGCTAAGCAAAAACTGTCCAAATGTCGTTGACATATGGTCTGTATTTCATTGGACTGAGATAACACACTAATTTCTAAGCCAATTCTAACGACTGATCCGAGTTGATTAACTTTGGATTTACTAACTGAATTTGGACCGTATTTCCTTCATGCTTCTTGACGTTTTGCTCTGTTCTGCTAGCTGCATATTTTATGTTCACCATACGGTACGGAAGATACAGTAAATGTGAAGATGTGAATTTGGTTCACCTGACACGCAGGCAGTCATGTGAGTCCGTGGAGCTGAACTATCGACCCGCGTCAACGTCAGGAGGTCACGTTACATCTCCGATGGGAGCAACGATAAATTCCGTTATACGGATCATAAATAAAATGTTTTGGCAGTAACAGTTTCCAAAGGTTTATTTGAGGTCTCGTGTTCTATATTCGGCGAATAGAAAGGTACGACGGAATCCAAGAAATCTTAGTAATTCAGAGCCCGGACTGAATTACTTGGATGAAGACCCAACAACACAGTTTCTTGATCATACTTATTATGGCGGAAAAGACTTATGATATGATTCAATATTTATTTATTTCCTCTGAGCGATACCCATCACTCAGAGTAAATAAATAAAAACCCTCTTCCCGTTTTTCGGAGAATTAGTTGAAGTAGGTCTGTAATAAAATAAGCAATGGGATTACGGAAAATAAAGTAATTTTTCCCTTTTATTCAGAGATCAGAAGAGTCTCAAGTTACTAACTAAACATTAACGCTAAGATTATACTGAAGACTCTTCATAAAAACTATTATTACATTTTAATACTAGTTGACTACGGGCAGCGCTAAACCGTTCATTGTGTAAAACCTTGGGGGAGGCCTTTGTCCAGTAGTGGACGTTATTGGCTAAAACGAAACTAGTTCACTAACGATAAAAGAGTTTTTCACAGTCCAGTAGTTTCAGAGCCTATTCAATACAAACATACGATCAAATCTTTTCATATCAATCTGTCAATCTTTAAAATATTAGTGTAATAATGAAACTTGTAAATGAACTAAAGTCGCTGACATAGCCCGACGGATTAGTCAGCTGAAGTGGCAGTGGGCAGGGCACATAGTACGTAGAACTGACGGCCGATTGGGCAGCAAGGTTCTGGAATTGAGGCCGCGTACCGGAAAACGCAGCGTGGGACGTCCACCCACAAGGTGGACCGACGACCTGATAAAGGTAGCAGGAAGGCGATGGATGCAGGCCGCTACCAACCGTGCGATGTGAAAGTCATTGGGGGAGGCCTATGTTCAGCAGTGGACGTCCTGTGGCTGAAATGATGGATGATGATAAATGAAACTTGTATTCTCAATGTAGGTGTCAGGCGACGAGCAGCGCCGACTATGCGGGGAACAAGAGAAGTACAGCGAGCGCGGAGGCCTGGGCCTGGGCGTGGGGCTCACCACCTACGGCTCCGTGGCCTACCAGCTCAAGGACGCCAACATGGAGGCCTCGGGCACCGTGGACTTCGTCTGCCGCGCCGCCAAGATCATGAATAGAACAAGTAAGTTCAAGAACAAGTATTCGATCACATCGAATGGGTTACGTTATAAAGGCTGTTAAAGTTTATGAAATAATCCAAGATGAACATAAAAATATTTGTGTTTTTTGCCGTGATTAAGTCTCATCTCGTCATCATAGAGTACGAGTGTTAACGTAGTGTAGATACTGCTTCAAAGAACTTTTATAGAACAGTCCCTTCTCATTTCCTTTTCATTGCACATAAATATTTGTTATACAAGGGGGACCGACGACCTCATAAAGGTAGCGGAAAGGCGCTGGATGCAGGCCCCCACCAACTGGCCATTGTGGAAATCATTGGGGGAGGCCTATGTCTAGCAGTGGACGTCCTATGGCTGAAATGATGATGATGTTGATGATTTGTTATCCAGTTGGCAACGTAAATGTGCGAAATAAATTACTGTTATGACCAACACTTCCACGTTTTTGTTTGAAGATTATTTTGCACAGGGAAAATAAATAATTAAGTTTACTACGAATCAGAACCAGCTCTTGATAATGGGGAGTGGTAAGTCCTAAAGAAATAAGTTGTCAAGTAGGTACAGTCACGGAATGAAAAGGTTCGTCAGTTTTCAAATTGATTCCTTCAACGAATCGCGAGCACATATTACCTTTTGAAACTATGTTACAGAATAATCTCAAATTAGAGAAAATAATCTTTAACTGTTCGTCAGTAAAGTTCAAAATTATTCAGATCAAAGTTGTTTGACGATTTATCTTGTCAAGAAGATTATTATGATTGATAAACTAAAACCTTCTTGTTGGTTCAACCTGCCATTATTATGTCTATTAAATAAAAAAAACTATTGTCAATTGGTCAATGTCATCATTGCATTACACTGATGGGATAGAAAAATAAACAAGCAAAACCTTATTCGTCAGCAAACGTCATATTTATTTAAATGTTAGCAGCACTGTTTCTTGCACTGTTATGTTGGCAGGTTTGACTCTTTGGTGCAAGCGAAAACCGACACTAAGGTGACGAACCTTTTCATTCTGCGACTGTACATTCTTCTTTTTGTTGCAGTCGTGATGACCGTGTTCCTGGCCTGCCTTTCAACGTTGCCTGTGATAATGCTAATAATGGGTAAGTCTCAAGATAATTCATACAGAATATTTTTTTCCATTATTTTTACATGGTAGAGTAACGAGTTGTTCACCAAAGTAACACACTTAGCTTAGCATTTAAAATGCTGGCTTTCACTTAAGAGCGTTTACGCGAAGCGCGGCGTTTCAAGGGGCATCATTGGAAATGATTCGCGCGCGGCGTTTTTTAATAGTTTTCAAATGTTTATAGCACACACGTTTCAAAACAATAACAATGAATTAAATATCGTTTCAAAGTAAATATTTTAAAGAAGATGTTGTTTTATTATATTAAGCTATTTTTATGTTGAATAAAGGAAGAATATTGGTGAAAAAATCACTTTGATTTTTGGGTATTTCACGTTCTTTTAATTTGTAAGTACTGTTTTTGCGCCAAACGGCGTAAACGCTCTTAAGTTCGTTCAAGCACTCTTAACAATAAATCTCTTTTGAATTTCACATGATCTTTTACAAAATAAACCTAAAACACACAACGCGTTAGGAGCTGAAACCGAATGCGTTCGCGAACAAAATCGACACTAATCTTATAATCTGTAGGACTGCCTAGGGTTGTCAAGTTTTATTATCGACAAATCTTACTTTTCACGCGTGAGTCGTGACAAGAGCTTAAGTAAAGTACTGTTTGTTGCCTTTAGTAAAATAAAGGTACCATCTGATCAATAAATCTGACGAATTTTGCAGTAGCTTGGTTGTACGATACCTACGTACAATAGCTTATTACCAACAATAATACTCGTATTATATCAAACGTCGTACAGTATTTGAAGGGATATCTTAGCACGATATTTCATTACAGATATTCTATTCAGATACAGCTGCTACAGTGTCAGTAAAGAGTGTGGCTTAATTGTCAACAATTCGATGTACCCACCTAATATTCAATATTGAGTGATTGATCGGAACCACTAAAGCTAATACAATTTGGGCGCTTTAAAACGCAGCCGAAAGTTGAGGTAACACTGCTAATTCAATTTCGTAAAACAAATGTTTGTAATACCTACCACAAACAATTATTTTTGTGTTCTTTGCAAAAGTAATATAATTTTTATGTTGTTGTGTTCAGGGACGTAACTAAATTATTTTAAGATCTTAAGATTGAAAAAGTTACTGCAGAATTTGTTCTAAATGCCTTCAGCCGAAAGACCACTGCTGGACCAAAGATATTTCCACAACAACAGCTGGCCATTAGGAAAAGAAAAAAAAAGTCACAAGAAAAGTAGCCATTAATAAAACTTGTTAATATTCTTGAGTCAAACATAAAAGTACCTAGTAGAAAAGTAGGTCAATCGTTCAATAAGGTTTTACCTCACAGAAGCTTCGCTCACACGTCTTTTGAGGCCTACATAATCTGACTTTAGTTGTTGGTACATCGCTACGTATTAGATAGAAGTAGTTTTTGTTCCGCTGACGACTGGGCCGCCATAACCTCTAAAGCTTCACGCGATCATAGGCGAATGGCAGGACACCGATCTATCATTGGCCTTTGATCGCGACAGCGATGGCGATCTGCACGCGTTGGTATGGTTGAAGCATTAAGCGCAAATAATGCGCAATCATTGGGAAATGACAGATCGCGCGAACTGTCATTGGTCGCGCGACCTGTCATTGGCCTTTGATCGCGCCGGCGATGGTGATCTGCACGCGTTGGTGTGGTAGAAGCTTAACGCGTGCAGCTCACGTAGGCAATGGATGTTAAACTCATCGCTACAAATTCATACACGACATCTGATCGCCATCGCTATCGCGCATATATGTAGGTTGCACGCGTTGGTTTGGCCGAAGCTTTAACACGTTGAGTGCGATACCAGGTCTATAGANTTTAAACAGTGTGCTTACTATGAGTTTACGGTGTGCTCGCTAGCGACTGCGTAAAAAATGACATTAAATGTATGACATATTGTGCAGCGCCCCTAGCAGCTACTTTCAAGAAGTAAAATCTTCATAGATTTTTTTGGCGTACTCGCTAGCGAGCACACCTAACGTAAACTCATGGTAAGCACACAGAACCGAGCTGACCGAGGCTAAGAAAATAGAGCTATTTTCTGTTCGTAAGTCGCTGGCTAGTCTTTGAATCGAAGTCTCCGGTGGAAATGAAATGAAAATTCTATTAAAAATATAATTTTGTGTTTATTTAACAAGTAACAGTAAAACGCAGATATCACAATGCGATGAGAATTACAAAGCAAATATCGTCTTTTGTGCTTCCACTCTCATTCTGTTCGTTTAAAATATATTTTGTAATGAATGACAATTCAAAGAAGTAAATGAATAATGAAAGGATATAAAATATTTTTAACAGGCCGTGATAAAATTACAAAACAGTGAATTTGTTCAGAACGGGGACACTAACAAAAGGGTGGACTGAGTGAGATACGAAGTTGTGAGGGTCTCGGTGTGGGTATTATGTCTCGGAACAAAACACTCGCCGTGATTATGCCATGGAATTGTGTGGGACGCTAAATTTGGGACATAATGCCTACGCACTGCCCGCGAATATACAATATGACACCAGACATAAGATAATGATGGGAGATTATGCGTTCGTAGCTCACGTCTGTGTGGCGGTCGCTTCGACCTCCACTCAAAACTCAAGGGTGAAAATCTCACCTGTATTTATGTGTGATTTCTCAAAATTAGCACTCTTTCAAACCCTGTTAATGTACGAGTATTTTTACCAGCAATGTGAAATTTCCGGGAAATTTTCTTCACTAAACATATGACACGTCGAAAGATGATCTCAATTATGTTTACCACATTGCCCCACATGACAGCCCTGGCTCGACGCAGCATAAATAATATTTCTTGAATGCTAAAAATGCTGTTATTTTCATTTCACTATAACTGAATCTTACCTTTGTTTGCGGTACCAACACAATGGAAATTTCAACTTAGAACAAATTGTTACGATTGTAAAGCAATTCAAGTAGGTAGGGAACATTTGAAGTGCGTTGCGGAACTTGCGGATCCATTACACAAATTGGAAGTCAAAATATGGAATGGTATGTCACAGTTTCTCGAACATTTTAACGATTATGTGTCACATTACCTTATGCCACATCAAATACAACATTTGATCACACATAGATAAAGTTATTGACATGATAAAATGAAAATTATTTACTTATAAGTAGTGGCCAAAACGTAGCATACGAGTATGTGCTGAAGTAATTTTGTTTTAATTGTAAAACAGGTGGGGTTTAAATAAGGAAATCCCTTTAACATTTTTCAGTCATCTTTTTTATTCACCTCAAGGACCTAGATTACATTATTTTGTTTTCCGGAATCTATCCGAAATAATATGCTTTCAATATTGTCTTTATGTCATTACTTTGATAAACCATTAGATATTACTATGTCACTTATTTTCAGCTTATCGCTTACATCCAGTAGACCAAACATGACACGAATAATTTTATACAATTATTCGCTCTCTTCATTACAAACCGAAACAAAGCGCAGAAAACTGAATATTCTACCTAATTAATACTGCGCTGATTGCATTCGTGACGTCAATGTATTGCTGTTGGAGTTTAATTGCTTTGATTTCCGACTTGACCTAACCAGCGGGCATTTTACGGTTCTCACTGAAACAACAATGAGAGATAACAGTGATCTAGTGGATACTTGAATCCCGGTTAGAGTTTCAGTTCCTGACATTTGAATTTTCCATCTTCATCTGAATGAATTATGTGTAATGATGAGGATTTTGTTCTTAGTATGAAAACTATAGGTGTGCAGGCTCGAAAACATCTAATTGTTAAAAGTTTGAAAGTTTGACTAGGCCATTATACTCGTAGATACTTGGTGGCACAAGTCTGCAAATTAATAAAAATGATAGCTCACATTCAAGGAGTGAATAAAACTTAACAAGCGTATCATTATTTTGATTTTTATCATTCATAATATTAAACTTTATGCTAATTCTAAAGTTACGAGTAAAGCTAGGAAATAGGCCAGTCAATAAGGTCTATCTATGAATTTGACCGGTAGAATTTGACTATTCCCAAAAGGGAGACCCAATTGAACCCTATAAATTGGGAAATTTTCGAAATTCCAATACGTTGAAGCCACAGATTAGAGTCCTGGCCGGGCCTGAATACTCTAATTAATATTCGGTTGATTACCTCCAGCACTCGGTTGTACGAGTATTAGACTAAGAGCTAGTGAACGCCAGACCTACGGTATTATAAAAGCTGAGTAATGTAAGTAGAATTACAGTCTAATGAATATACCGTAAAAGTTAGGCTAACGATAAACCATTAAAGTGGATTTGGGCAATAACCAGAAGTTGTTTCCTCATCAGCCAGATAGTTTTGACCGTTTCGACTTCTTGCCAGAAAATCATTTTAGGATAAAAGCCACGATGACCTACACTTCATGATGCACCAACGTTTTTATCTACGTTGGGAACATGCGCTGAAATACTTTCAGCTTTTATAGGTAGGTCTGGCGTTCACACCGTTCACTAGCTCTTAGTCCATATCGCTGATGGTAATTAAGTGATTTGTTCACTGCCTTGGGCGATAGGATCGCTATTTAGTTTGCGTAATTAAACTAGATAGGATAGGTTTGCTATTCAGGAATTATTTGGGCCGATAAGTGTTCTAACAATAGGTAAGACCAGAACTATTTTCAGATATGATTTATTATTTTTGTAATTGTGTTTTGTTGACCTTTTCATACATTAAAATTTTCTGCTACGGATATTAATGACAAATAAGCCTTTTTTAAAGATCAATGGGATTTCACATAGTGCAACATTAATATTATGTAGTAGTATGATACCTAAAGAAATCCTATAGCGTAAAATAGACCTAAAAATGTCGACAGGTTTGCATTGAGGTTTGCATACATCTCCGTAACTCAGTGGTCACCGCTTGGCAAGCTAAAAAAAGTAAACAACAAGCCCTTAAGTTTCACTTGTCTTAGAATAATTAAATGTTTAAGAAACTCGACCCAAAAAGGTACAATAATGAAAGAAATCCGTTTTAAAATTCCGTATCTCTGAAAGAGAACGCCGTATCGCAAAGAAAGGTGAAAGAAATCACAATCCTGTATTTTAAAACGAGCGATGGGACAAAGTAAACCTTTAATAGAACCAGACTTTATCGAAGAAGTAGGTCAGATTTAGTTAAAGTAACAACGATAAAATGTTGGACAAATTCGGAGACGGTCGCAATCACAATGATAAGACGGACGAAATTTCAAATACCAGCATAGACTTTGAAAATTACTTTTTGTGGACTATTTTTACAATACAATTATTGTTTGGGGAGTGTCTTAATAAATGAAAATAGCCAGTTGTATTTTTAGGTGAAGATTTCGCGATTATCGAAATCTGAAAATGGATGATTAGAGATTTGCTTATTATGAGTATCGACGTATAATGATACAATGTCATCTCTATTTATACAATTTTCTGTTTTACTCGTAATTAATTTATAAGTCTTGTTTGAATAATCCTTTCATAATTCAATAAGCGCAATTGGATTTTATCCGACCATAAGCATAGTGAATTATAAATCAGACTGTAATGTTTACATAACGAGGTTCGCTATCCGCAGTCACATCCGCTGATCTGGCCGCAGCGGATCTGCGGATCGGATCCACTGTAATAATTACGTGTGCGATCGTCAGGTTACAAATTATTTGTGCGGGTTATTAGGATTTGCGGCGCAGTTTGGATGGAAATCTGACATGTTAATGTAGCATTAGGCAAATTGTTCGCGGGTTACGTTTCAGGAGAGCTCCATTTTCATGATTGCATTTTAGATTTTACTTGTCGCTATAATCAGACACAGCTTAGCTACGGAACAGACTTCATAATACATCATAAAAAACAAAGTAGCTCCTGTCTGTCTGTCCCTATGTTATGCTTAGATCTTTAAAACTACGCTACGGATTTTGATGGTTTTTTTGTAATAGATAGAGTGATTCAAGAGGAAGGTTTATATGTATGAAACATGCATATTATAAAAGAAAGAAGCCGGAAAACCGTGTGAAGCCGGGGCGGGTCGCTAGTTTAAATAAAAAACAACCAGGTTTATTAAAAATAACAATTTAATCAGACTAGGAAACACAGGCTTATAACTCTCAAGTTTAATTATTTTGCAGACTAAGCCCGTACAAAATCAAAACAGCAAATAACGTGCTCTCCCTAGACAAGACCTTAATCACAAACTGCCTTTAATAACTAGGCCCAACAACAAACATTTCGGGAACTTCGCTTATAAACTCTAAGCTTTGATAGACGGTCTTGGAAATAACATCTGATAATGTCAGGGAATCTTCTCATTATTGAAGCTGAAATAGACGAACTAGCAAATATTCGTGAGGATTTTCTATTGCAGTCAACAATCATCAATCCAGTCTATTACAAGGCCAGAGATGGGCGATTCTCGAATGATGTTGTACTCGCATTATTTTACTCGACTGAATGATTGTTACAACACTTCTTGAAAAAAAACTTGCTTTATTACATAATTTTCTCAAACAAAATACCGAAAATTTTCTCTACTTATGACAATAATTCTATTATAGAATGGTATATTAAAACATTAAGCGCACGCCTCACCACAAACTAAGCTACATTAAGCCTTCTAATCGTCGTAACCGACTCGCCAACCTCCGTCTGGGTTTTGTTCTTGGCGACATTGTTTGCAAGAATGGCGACTTAAATTATGATTTCCACTTCAAACCCTTGTCGGCGGGTCGGTAACGTTGATTTATGGAGTGTTAAGGCGACTTCATAACAGACGTATGACCAGTGACCAGTTTTAGAAAGCGTTACATTGCTAATATTGATTGCTTTACTACGGTGTTGCTTTAAATGTCACTATTCTCACACACGCTAAGACGCTGATTGTACACAAATTGAAACTTCTTGAGGAGCCACTGATTTTTACCGGCACCCATCAGGAAACTGATGTTAAGGTCGAGCAGCTGTACTGTGCGGCGCTGCACAAAGCATCAAAATATTCTTTTATACATTTTGCATGGTGAATGTCACATTAGGGCAGCGCTGCAGCAAGTGTCGTTGCATACTAAGGCCCAGTTTTTTGATTCGTAGTTAAAATAACCAATAGTTAAATTTGACAGATGTCAAATGACAAGTGGTTAAATATCAGAGAAAAATGTTTTTCGAACAATGGTTAACTTGACTTTTAGTACATTTTTTAACTATTAGTTTACATTTTGTTAATATTTAACCATTAGTAGCAAAATTTAACAATTAGTTATTTTAACTATGAATCAAAAAACTGGGCCTAAGAGACGTGCAGTAGCGCCGTGCAACTTGAATGCGTTCCGATGTCTTTTGGTGGGGTGCGTGACAGTTTATATAAGTTTATATGATATAAATTCATTTCAATAACGTTCATATTGTATAATAAACGTATGTTATAATAACACTTGATATAATTTTTTAACATAATATAATGTTTACTTCATATAATAAATCATTTCTAATAATATCATTTCAGATACCAATCACAACGCATAAAGACATTTGATATAAACCTTACTTAATCTAAGACTCATTTGATGTAATTTTGTTTAATATAAATATTATTTCACATAACCATTACTTGTAATAAATATTATTTGTTATACTCTTTAATTGATATAATTACTGATAGATATAACTTTAAGTATGTTCTTCTTTAGCTTGACTTATAAATGACTTTAGTGACAAAAACGAATCGCCGTAAAACCGACTCCACGTAGTCTTGTCTGCCCTACCCCTAGAGTGTAATTTAGAAGCGCGTAGGCACGGAGGGGCGAGGCGGCCCGCGGGCTGAGGAGCAGGTGGCTGGAAGCGAGGCGCCGCGGCTGAGGCTGGCCGGCGAAGCCGGCCAGCAAGCCGAAGACGCGGTGTCGAGCGAAAGCCATCTGCGACGATTAGCACGCGAGGGACCGCTAAAGCCCCGCAGTGCCGGAGCCGTGACAGAAGTCTCAAGTTTTTAGTCAAATTTGCATGCTGCATGTCTGCATGCCTGCTTGCTTGCTTGCTTGCCTGCTTGCTTGCTTGCTTGCTTGCCTGCCTGCTTGCTTGCTTGCTTGCTTGCCTGCTTGCCTGCTTGCCTGCTTGCTTGCCTGCTTGCTAGCTTGCTTGCCTGCTTGCTAGCCTGCATGCTAGCTTGCTTGCTAGCTTGCTTGCTTGCTCGCTTGCTTGCTTGCTGCATGCAATGCTTATTATAACAAATGAACTTTATATAAAATTATTATTGTTATATGATTTAAGTTTTATAGGAAAAAAAATTAATAATTTTATCTCATTTGATTGTTCGACATTTTATTTTTATATGATTTGAATGTTATTTGTTTTAAATAGTATACATTGTAAGTTTTATAGAAAATATTCATTATATCAAACCATTTTATATCAGTTAATAGTTATTTCTCTTAAAATTATTCGTTTTAAAATTATATTATTCGTTTATTATAGTAAATAATTATCATATTAAACGATTTTATATAATTTGATGTTATATCCTCTAAGTATTATATGATATGTAGTTATATCATACATTACACACCCCTTTTGGTGCAGTTACGGTAAACTCAATTTTGGAAAAAAAAGCGCAGCGTCTTATTAGCGTACATCTGTAGGTTTTCATCAGAGATTGCATGAAATATAAGTAAAAGGAATGATTTTTCGATCAAAATTGACATGCTGCTATACCATGTTCCCTACAGAGTGCCACTTCACAGTGGGTACCTAAGTTCAGCAGGTGGACCTTTCTTCTTCTCAGGAGTATAACTGTGGGTTATCACTCGGCTTTACACTGTAATTATGTATTGCAAAAATATAGAGCAATTTACTAGAAAGAGTGATATACACAAGTTCAATACAAGAAACAAAAATAAACTTGCCGTTCCAAATTTCAGACTGCACAAGATTGGTAATTCATTTATGGGGAAATGTATTAAACATTTCAATAAATTACCACAAACTGTTGTAGAATTGCCCATTCATAAATTTAAAGCACATATCAAAAGCACCTTAATGAAAAAGGGCTACAATAAAGTTGATGATTATATAAAAGATAAAAATGTTTGGAATGTTTAACTACCTAGCTCGCATCAATACTTATGACTATAATATTTTGTATATTTTAAAGACTGTAAACCCTTGAAAAGGAGGCTGACAATAGTGACTGAGTCTCTTGCGCTGCTTTTTCTCAACACTGGCCCATTTATTGTCCCGAAGCAGTGGTAGGGTTAATATTGGGACGTGTAAAAGTGCTTTTTTAAAGCCTACTTACAGAAATAAATGAGTTTTACTGAGTTTTTTTTACCACTGATTTTTACCGGCACCCATCAGGAAACTGATGTTAAGGCCGAGCAGCTGTACTGTGCGGCGCTGCACAAAGCATCAAAATATTCTTTTATATATATATTTTGCATGGTGAATGTCACATTAGGGCGGCGCTGCAGTAAGTGACGTTGCATAGTAAGAGACATGTAGCGCAGCGCCACTCCACTTGAATGCGCTCCGATGTCTTTTGATGCAGTTACGGTAAATTCCATTTGAAAAAAAAATACGCAGCGTCTTGTAATATGTAGGATTATTTACAACCGTAGGTTTTCATCAGACCGCTACCAACCGGGTAACATGGAAAGCATTGGGGAAGGCCTATGTTCAGCAGTGGACGTCCTATGGCTGATATGACGATGATGATGATGAGGTTTTCATCAAACTTTGCACGTATAAGGGGTGTTTATTTGGTCGAAATTGACACACTACCATGCGTATGAGGTACTGTACCATGGGGTTTCACTCCTCGGTAGGTAAGTTCACTGGTGGTCCTTTCTTCTCAGGAGTATAACTGTGGCTTATCACTCAGCTTTACACTGTAATATGTATTCTACGTTACTGTCCAGGTGTCCAATACATCCGTGACTGCCCGGCCGAGCCTCGAATCCCGGTCTACATGGTGGTCGGCGGCGCCGCCGGCGGGGCGGGCATCTGCTGGCTGCTGTGGGCGCAGCTGGCGAGCAGGAGCGTCAACAGCGCGCCCAGCGTGCCGGAGAGGGTCCTCGCTTATATGCTTACGGTGTTCCTTTTGGGCTGGTAAGTATACTAGTTCTTATAAGATACACCATACAAGAAGCATGGTAAATTCAGTGAACTGCTCCTGAATCGAATGTACCTACTACTACTATTCCTATTTATTTATATTAACCGGCAGGCAGTGGTGACTGAGTTTGTTGCGGCGCTTCTTCTCAGCACTTGCCAAATGTTGGTCTCGAAGCGCTGGTAGGGTAAAAAGATTATGAGACATGTAGAGGCTCCTTAAGAGCATATGACGATTTGTAAGAACTATTTATTAGTCTAAACAAATAAAGAAATGTTGACTTTGACTTTGACTTTGAATAAATAAAAGATCATTTACTTTATTACTTTACTTTACTTAACAACTTTAACATTACATTAGGTTGTACCATCGGCAACAGTGTTAACTATCCATTGTCTGTCATGTCGTCTCGTTCTATCGCAAAGAATCACCATTTGATGAGAGCGAGAGCAAAAACGGAAATGGATAGTTAACAGTGTGGCCGTGTGTACATACCTACATTTCTTTACATACATACCAGTGATAATGCTAAGGTTGTACCGACATACGCTTCAGTTCATAAAGTAACTGAGATTTCTTCGCTAGGCTAGGCCAGTCATGTAGACAATATTTTGTCAAAGTTACATAAACAAACATTGGTATACTTGTTTCTTACAATTTTATAATTATAATTATAATTATTATTATCTTAATTTACATACAATTTCTAAATAATATTAGTAGGTATAATGTGGAGCTGTAGGAGTAAACAAGTGAAATGATACTAAAAGTCGAAACAAAAATAACAGGCTAAAGTTAATATGGCAAATTACGCTGAAGCAAAGTTTATCTTAGAAACATTTAGAATTTGTGTAACATTATTATCTCGAACGAAACTTTTGAAAACTAAATGAGATTTTATTGTGACTCTTCATGTTATTATATTCGTTGAGCAAAGGCAAAATTGAGTTTTTGACGAGTCTTTTTAGACTGAAAATAGATTTTTGCTTTTTATTTTTTCACCCTAATTTCTTTTTTACCTGCGTAAAAGCCTATAAAATATTATGCCCTTACGAGTACCTATAATTAACGTTTAGATTTGAATTTAAAGAAGCTCACGACTTTTTTTTTGTTTAAGCAAAACCATTTAGTAGTAGCTTTGGTAACACTTTGTTTGAAGGTGCCTTTCATAAATCTTTACCAATTTTATCACGTCATATCCTGTTGTGATATGTCACAACTACACCTACCGTTTTCTAAAAATACTTCAGTGTGAGGTTCCTTTTACCCAGGAAATAAATACAGTTCCCCGGGAATATGTCACATATTTTTGGTCCAAAAGCAATATCGCTGGCGAGATACTCTAAAATAACGTGTATTTACGCACTTGATGGTTTCACATAAACTGAAATGCCGCCCACACTGTGAAATACTCAAGTGACAACGATAGTTCCATCTTTGTCACTCGATACCGCTGATGTGTCGTGCGTTACGCTTTAACGTTATCGTTATGTGAAAATACGATATACTTTGTGGAGCATTCTTGACTTAGGATAAAGTGGATCCGTTTAACGATGAAAGGCGCTGTAATGGCATCCTGGCAACAGGCTGTGTAATACGACCTTTGTGTTTAATGGATAGGATTTCTAGGAAAATAAATGATTTAAGTTTAATGTGTCGTTTAATGTTTTGATAGGTTGGATTTGATATCAGAGAGTTTTAGCTTTTATTATTACTGATAAGCTACTTCTAGCATCATTAATATTATTATGTGTTAACTTATTGTCAATACCGTTCTGATTTCAAATGAAAGGAAGGTGAACACATTTTTAGTTGAGGCACCTTGTTTTTACGACAGACGTACTTAAGTTTCCTAACTTAGAAATTCAATTGTCTGAATCGTAATAATGTGACACCCTTTATCATTTGCAGTCCCAAATTACTGAGAATTTTCCTTGATTTGGACATTGGCAAGTTAATGAGAGAGGCTTGATGAGGATATTACCCGCAGTAGTCAGGGCGCGCAAGTCCTGGCAAAAATTAATTAAGGACAGCCTGAAGTAGGGTCGGGTTCTCAAGGAATCGCAAATTATCAGCCGCTTGACTCATTGGAACACTTACACAATTAACTTGTCTCATGTCACGCACGGGGGTTGTTACGTCCTTTGTTTAACTTTATTACGTTTTAGGCAAATTTAAAATTTTTGGCTCGGTGCTAATTTCGTTGCTTCAAAATGTTTATCATAAATTCAAAAGATTATCGTTAGAGATATTAAATACACGAATTTTCCATTACTTAAATTCCATTCATGACCAATCCATCGTTTGGCTTTTATTCAAAACCTAATTGGGTAATAATACACCTGCGTCAAAGGGTCAATCAATAAAACAAGTTAGAATCTGTTGGCCGAAAAAAAAATCAGAATCTTTACCACTTAATTTCAAAGAAACGTTCTTACTCAGGTTCGCATTCGGCAACTACTGGACACTCGGCATCATGTGGCCAGACTATGCACCAACACTGTTCGAGCCCAACCAGTGGTGTCATAGGACTCTATACGTGTTTGCGCTGACGCAGCTAGGAGTGGTATGGGGAGTCATCGCGCTGTTGCTGCTACTTTTGTTGGCGCTGGTGGTCTGCCAAGTGAGTTGTATACCTTAAAACGACAGGAAACTCGACGTCATGTGGCCTACGTTCGAGCCCAAACAGTAATGTCACCGGACTCTATACGTGTTCGCGCTGACGCAACTAGGAGTGGTGTGGGGAGTCATCGCGCTGCTGCTGCTACTTCTGCTGGCGCTGGTGGTGTGCCAAGTGAGTTGTATACCTTAAGACGACAGGAAACTCGACGTCATGTGGCCTATGTTCGAGCCCAAACAGTAATGTCACCGGACTCTATACGTGTTCGCACTGACGCAACTAGGCGCTGCTGCTGCTACTTCTGCTGGCGCTGGTGGTTTGCCAAGTGAGTGGTATTCCTAGCACAAAAGGTCCTTATCCAGTTTCATAAGGAAACTACTGGACACTCGGCCGATCCAGTGATGTCATATGTCTCTCTACATGTTCGCGCTGATGCAACTAAGAGTGGTGTGGGGAGTCATCGCGCTGCTGCTGCTACTTTTGCTAGCGCTGGTGGTCTACCAAGTGAATAGAAGGATAGTTTATGCTGGAGTATTTTGAAGTGTACCTAGATATATTTTTCCACGACATGAAGCTAATATAGTGAGGGTTGGTGGAAAGGTGAGTACTGCTCATCTAGCAGGGAGAGTTATAACCTTCTTATTGCTACCGTGGTTGGTAAATAGTTGTGCAATTTTTATGCATGACAAGATAGGTGTTTGACCACAATCGCACCTGGTGTTAAGTAAGATGCAGTCTAGGATGGTACATATCTGCCCTGTAAATGCCTTTTCACTTTCACCTTAAAAAGGCTCGGATTCCAGATCAAAGTTACTGTCATTATGTCAAACCACCATTATGTCTGTGATTAGGTTTAACATCTGAAGTTCAGTGACCGTACACTGAAGTTTTTCCAAAGCTCGGGATTCTTGTGATAAATGCGTGAATGGTCAGGCTAGTTTTAGTGTCACGCGGACTGTCAGTGCGGATCGCTCCGCACAGCCGATTTGTATGAACTGCTAGGGAGCGGAGCGGTTCCTCCGGACCGCATTACTCTAAAACGCTCTCTAGGAGTTCATACAGATTGGCCGTGCGGAGCGGGTCCGCACCGGACGGTCCGCGTGACACTAAAACCAGCCTCAGAATCGTCATCTATCCATTACCGCAATTACATTTCTATCCAACCCCACAGGTGTTCGGCTGCGGCTGGCTCGGTCCGCCGCGCTTCAAGTAGCAGCGGCGCAGCGTCGTGCTGGAGCTGTGGCACCGCAACATCAACAACACCATGGACGTGGCCGGCGCGCTGCTGCCCTTCACGCACGTCGTGCGGCCCGAGCTCAGCGTGCACGTGCAAGAAGTCCTCTCCCAGGCCGAGCGGAACGAGAAAATCCCGGAGATCCGGGAGCCGGACGACGCCCGGCACGCGGCCTGATGGTGGTTGGTGGTGCTGCCGCGTCCTGACAAGCGCGTGCGCTTCGGACCTAAGGACAAGGTGTATTATTTCTGATGGAACTGACTCGTGTGTTTTAGGATATGTGATCAGGTGTGAAGAAGTGTCTTTTAAGTCTTTGTTAAGTGTCGTTTAAGTCTTTTAACTCTTTTGGTATGTAAAAGTTTGTTCTTTAGTTCTTCAACGCAGGATAAGTCATATTACTTTTCTCTTAGCAGCTCAATTTGGGGGTTTTCTTGCCTAAGCTACAGGGCTCTAGCACTATAAGCCCTAAGTATCGCTTTAACCAGCTCAGCGTGAACTTGCAAGAAGTCCTCTCCCAGGCCGAGCGGAATGAAAAGATCCCGGAGATCCGGGAGCCGGACGACGCCCGGCACGCGGCCTGATGGTGGTTGGTGGTGCTGCCGCGTCCTGACAAGCGCGTGCGCTTCGGACCTAAGGACAAGGTGTACTATTTCTGACTGGTTCGTGAGTGTGCTTTTAGGATATGTGATCAGGTGTGAAGAAGTGTCTTTTAAGTCTTTTGTTAAGTGTCGTTTAAGTCTTTTGTTTAAGTGTCGTTTAAGTCTTTTGGGATGTAAAAATATGTTCTTTAGTTCTTCAACGCAGGATAAGTCATATTACTTTTCTCTTAGCAGCTCAATTTGGGGGTTTTCTTGCCTAAGGTACAGGGCTCTAGCACTATAAGCCCTAAGTATCACTTTAACCAGCTCAGCGTGAACTTGCAAGAAGTCTTCTCCCAGGCCGAGCGGAATGAGAAAATCCCGGAGATCCGGGAGCCGGACGACGCCCGGCACGCGGCCTGATGGTGGTTGGTGGTGCTACCGCGTCCTGACAAGCGCGTGCGCTTCGGACCTAAGGACAAGGTGTACTATTTCTGACTGGTTCGTGTGTGTGCTTTTAGGATATGTGATCAGGTGTGAAGAAGTGTCTTTTAAGTCTTTTGTTAAGTGTCTTTAAGTCTTTTGGTATGTAAAAGTTTGTTCTTTAGTTCTTCAACGCAGGATAAGTCATACCTTTACTTTTCTCTTAGCAGCTCAATTTGGGGGTTTTCTTGCCTATGGTACAGGGCTCTAGCACTATAAGCTCTAAGTATCGCTTTAACCAGCTCAGCGTGAACTTGCAAAAAGTCTTCACCCAGTCCGAGCGCAACGAGAAGATCCCGGAGATCCGGGAGCCGGACGACGCCCGGCACGCGGCCTGATGGTGGTTGGTGGTGCTTCGGACCTAAGGATAAGGTGTACTATTTCTGATGGAACTAACTCGTGTGTTTTAGGATGTGTGATCAGGTGTGTAGAAGTGTCTCTTTAGTCTTTTGTTAACTTTAAGTATGTAAAAGTTTGTTCTTTAGTTCATCAATGCATTGGATTAGTCAGAGGTTTATTTTTCGCTCATCTGTCAATTCTGTTGAGTACGAGTGTTGGTTTGTGAGTGCACTTAGGGTGTAAAATCAGGAGTGAGCCAGTGTCATAGGTCCTCAAATCTTCTATGTACAGTATTTTTAAGATTGCTGTTTGTTTAGTTTTTGCTTTAGATATGGGTCTGTTTTTACACATAATGCACATAACACACAATGCACGTCAGATGTAGGTAATTATTTTAAAAGTTAACAGTTGGTAACCAGGTAACCACTTCCAAAGTTTTATTCAAAGATCTTCACTTTATTTTTCTTCAAACATGCTTCCTTTCATTAGTGCCCCTGCGTGGAAAAAAATCCATAAAGTAAAGAGAAGGTAAGTCGTAAGATCCTGAACTAAATCTCCGTGGAGCAGTCGAGCAAGTTAGAATTAATTTTGCAGCTCCAGATTGGGAAAACTTGGAAGAGTGAAGCGCCCGATGAAGTTTGGCGAACGTGAAATAGTGTACTTTACTTTCATTTGGTGCTTCGAGGTACGTGTCTCTTAACGTCTTTTCCACTTTTACTTGTATTAGCAAGTTTAAAGCAACTACAACTTAACATCAGGTGATGAGTTCACATCTTATTTTACAAAATGCTATTCAAAATGAACGTTTTGATTACGTGACTTTCTATAAAAATACAACGTTATTGGGTAGGAAAATTTAACAATATTTTTACTTGCGTTAAGTATAAATATTTCCTAACGTTGATTTCATTATACATGAACTACATAATTAATACCAATACCTATTAATTATTTTACTTTTTGAATCTAGTTGAAATNATTTTATATATTTACCTACCTGACCGGTCATATCTGAAAAATTGGACTTTATCAATGTTAACATTATAATGCGTGAGTATAAGTAAGTAGTTTACCTAAAGGATTGGGTGCTGCGTTTGGGCTATAGGTGATGTGGTGTAGTGTTCAAGAATAAGTATTATCCAGTGCTCAAAGTGTTTTATTTGCATTGTAATACGAGTATACATACTGCTTACATGATATAATTATTCCATAATTATGATAGTAGATTATACACTATTTATTATTGTTTATGAGGTACAACCAAGGACATTCGCTATTTGCTTAAATTAAGTTTTTTGTAGGATAAAATAAAAATAAAAATCAACAAAAAGAAGCGAGAGATTCGGTTCACCATAAGATTGTGTACAACGAATATTGCATAGTTTTAGGTAGGAGCGTGTGAGTGAGTGGATATATTAATCATGTATATACATATCTGGGTGTATAATTATTAGGAATTTAAATATCAACTTATGAAATATCATTGTCCATAAATAAATAAAATTATGATGGAGTTTAAGGTACGTTTATATGCTTGTAACGTAATATAAAATGCTTGTAATTTACATCTTTTAAGATTATAATTATACGTATAAAATGTATGACATTTTATAATTTTGTATTAAAATATTGCATGCACAACATTATTATATTTACAATTTAATGATGCCATCGGGTCTATCTTCTACATAATTATATAAATTTCTACTTCTATCTCTATTAATCTATTTGAATAAAATTACATATTTTGAATACACACTAAACTAATTATTTCAAAAGAAAAGAGAAATTGAAAACCGAAGTAAATAATATTTACTTCGGTTTTCAATTTCTCTTTTCTTAAATATTATTTTAGTTTTTTTGGTTATTAAATTATTAAAACACTGTTTGGGACCCAAGGCTTAATTAGTAGACCCCTAGTAATTAGTAGAATATTATCACGAGTATCAAATGGATCGCAAAATACTGCATGGAACAGGCTTTAATAGGAATTTTGTGGAAGAAAGATATTTTTGTATAGAACAATCTATTTAGTCGTGTATTTGATGTGCATGTAGAATCAAGGCACTAAAGGCCAAAAACCCGCAAAATTATTGTAGAGTTTAGGTTAGAAACCTATAGAAACATTTATTTCATTTTATAACAATTGCTAAAATGTTTAAAAAAAATGTAATTTAGGTACCTAATGTTAATTTAAAAGTATTATTTGGTTTACTTACCTATTCTTAAAAAAATTACAAACCAAGTCATTAGATTTAATTATTATGTTTTGAATACAAATTCATTTTCCGTTTTAATTTTTTTAAATATTATTTTATTCCTTTTTCATAAAGTCAAAATAGCAAAATATGGGATGATTTACCTCTATTTTTACGAACTATGAAAACAAAAAGAAATTCGTCCTAAATTTTCAAAAATCGTCCCGGTACTTGACCAATTTTTGGAATAAAAGCTTTTTGTATTTTACTATATCTCTTCAATATTATTATTATACTGCACCAGAACCAATAACTCAGGGATTTTATCTTTTTCACGAGGTGCTGCTCTTTCTATCGTTTTTGATATTTGTAAAAATGTTTGAAATTAACATAGCAATGCAAATAGAATTGAATTCTGTAATTTCTACTCGTAGGTTAAGTATTGTAGAATAAAATATATTGAATTTGACCACTTAAGGTCATAATATAAATATCACACCTATTTAACGCGTGTATAAAAATATTATAGTTTTCGTATACATGTGTATGTTAACTAAAAAGTGTAAAAATAAATTACATTTTTGTTATTATTTAAATATATTTTATTATATTATTCTTTAAATTGTAAGTTTAATATTAGATCCTATAGATAAAGCATTTCTTATAAAAAGTATGAATTAGAGACACCTGGACTTGGGAACATAGATATCCTGTAGTTATTTTTGTATTATTAATAACACGTTAATGTATTTATTTTATTTTACTATGCATGCATCTCTTAAATGTATTAGGTATAAACATTTTGTCATCTTAGCCATAAGTAGTAGCATTTTTGTAAAGATTACTTACTGAAATAATTATCATCTACATAATTAAGTAGATTCACATAAATATCTGTAATCAATCAAAAAGTATGCTGATGACTTTCGAATAGTATAAATCTACATTATACAATATTATGTACTAATATATCAATGTTCCTTTAAATATTATTTAATTACATAAAATTTGTAATTAGATGTGTTGATAATTATATTATATTAGGTAAATATAATAGCATGTAACTTACCTATACTATAATTAGTGCCTAAGCAGATGCGTTAAAACGCAGCTTCATGACCATGATTTATAGTTATTAGAATTATACTCGATTGTCATTTAGTAGTTCCAAGTTACTATGTCCAATCGTCATCATGGCCATCATGATAAAAATGATAAATTATTATACATAATGGATGTATGTTAACAATACAATTATATAAAAAGACTATTTAGATCATTAGATGACTAAAATCGTATTATATCTCAGAATGGCGTTAGTATATCGAAAAAATATATAAAGATTGTATTGCGTGTCTTTAANTTTATTGTACGGCGGGCGTTAATGGGTTAATGTGATGAAATGAGTAATAAATGTTTTTTTTTAAATACTGTCTTTTCCTTTTTATAGGTATTATGATAAGGAATCAAGCACATTGAAGTCATAAATGTAAAGTTGCAACAAATTTACCTAGCCCCAAACGAAGCAGAGTTTTTCGTCGAAGAATGCTCGTGGTTAAAACGCAAATATTTACCACTAGTGACATTAAAACTCACAACTGGTACATCAGCTGGCGTTAAAGTCTAGCTCAGAAGAGGTTGAATACCCAATACCTAACCTGAAACAAGACAAATTCTTCTACTTTCTACATTATTTTTCTATGCAGAACAAGGCTAGGTTTGATGGTATTTGACTGCAATTGCACTTGATATTAAGTGAGATGCTGTCTAGGATGGTACATTTATCTACCCTGTAAGTGCTTATACACTCTCGCCTTGAAAAGGTCCGGATTACAGTATTCGGGAAAGACAACAGCAGGCAACGAATTCCAGTCCCTATCTGTTCGCATTATAAAAGAGTTACTTATCGAATCGCTTAGTGCGAGCTGGTGAACATCTTTTGAAGGAGCTGTCCCATCGAGATGTAATGAAAACAAAGGTAACGTTAAATAAATTGAACTATTTCATATCCAAGTAAATTGTGGTCATCAAAGTTCATCCTCTAACTAAACATTGTACAAATGTTACATGTTAAAGTCAAAGTCAAAGTCAAAATTTCTTTATTTGTTTGGACTAATAAATAGTTCTTACAAATCGTCATTTTGCTCTTAAGGAGCCTCTACATGTCTCATAATCTTTTTACCCTACCAGCGCTTCGAGACCAACATTTGGCAAGTGCTGAGAAGAAGCGCCGCAACAAACTCAGTCACCACTGTCTGCCGGTTAATATAAATAAATAGAAATAGTAGTAGTAGGTACATTCGATTCAGGAGCAGTTCACTGAATTTACCATGCATTCTTGTATGGTGTATCTTATAAGAATGGGTATACAAGATTGCGTGGTATATTAAACAAGGTAGTGACGTGCTAATATCTAGACTTACATATTAAGATACTAGTAGAAATGACTCGCATACATAAATTTGAATAACTTGGATTGACCAGTCCCCGAAAGCAGCGCCTGTT